ACCTCTTTTTTCCAAGACCAGAAAAAAACATCCTGTCAGCTACCTGTCTAACACACAGGAGTTGATTGATTTATAGGTATCATGCTCCGCTATTGCATTAGTATTAGTGTATGTGTTGTGTTTGTGTTTAGTCATATGTTTATGGTAGAGCAGTGGAGGGCTACTCAATGTATTGAAAGAGTGAGTAGATGCTAGGAATTCCTCAGTATTGCATAATGGATTACATTATGTAAATTTTTTCCCTGCATGCTCTCTTATGTCATAGCTTGTTTCGGCCAATCTATAGGCAAAGGAAACGTAAGACGTCTTTGTTGATGCTTACAGGAAGTACGATATTAAAAAGTAATGAGGCGGAATGAGAGGGCAACGTTACGCTGCCCGTAGGCCTGTTACAAATGAGCCTACTGAGCCACAAGAAAGCTATAAATAAAATGACCACAGTGCAATGATTCTTAGGATGTCCATGTTAAATTGGTTCAAATGTATTAGATAGATTTGGTGAATAGGGGGAACTTTGCCTTTATCTTTCTCCTTCCACAACAACTCTGCTCACTTTGAGTATTTTAAATGAAGCAAAAACGTAAGATTACTTTCTGGCAGTCATGCTGATTTGGTAACAATAACTGGAAAATAACTTTTCAATAATACAACATATAATTTGAATATTGTTTTTTATCTTTGGTTCCATCGATGTGGTTCTACTGAGCAGTTAATTAGCTTGAAATATATCTGTCTAATCAAAGATCAGTAATCCAATACCTGTGCTGTAATTTTGTTGCAGGAGGGGAGACGGGTCTCTGGAAGATAGAATTACTTCATCCTTGTATTACATATCTACAACACACACACACACACACACACAACACACACACACACACACACACACACTCTTCTTAAACACATCTGTTCAACACTCAGGCGAAGCGCCGAATGAACATTTGCTGCCTGGGCTCCATGAATGTTTAAGCAGCCCTGTGTTTCCTGAGCCAGGTAGCTCATTACCGTCTCATTACCTACAATGTAGGGACACCAGCTCAGCAGTAAGCAGGATGGTCACGCTCCTCCTCCTTCTCCTCCTCAGACTCAGCCTCACTGTCTCTGGCCCTGGTACCAGGCCTGCTCCGAACCAGTATATGAATCTAGGACAGATGCATACCTAAGCAGCAGACGAGACAGTGCTGAAAGTAGATTATGTACTGACCAACAGAGGCTCCACTATGGGGGACTCATCAGAAACTAAACCCTATCACATGCCGTGTCTGTCCGACTACTAAACCTGAGGACTAAAAACTATTTTGGATTCATCATATCAGACTGGTTACATCATGACGCACCAGGCTTTGGAAATGAAGGAGGTAACTACATGATCATGGATTGTGTGTCTTTGCTGCAGTTTGTTATCCTATTTAGAAGCCATTTTTGATTTAGACTGGTTTAGACTTTCTACTACTCTGTGGCCCAAATATTCACTTTCCAGACATGGATGATAGGTCTGCCTAGATGTCTGCTTTACGGTCTTTCTTACATTGGAGGACATCTCAGGGGCACTGCACTCAGAAATGCTACAACCTCTCCCATAATGTAATGGAGCAATGTTTTGATATTGATAAAATGATGACGTGTAATGTAACAGGGTAGCTAAGTGTGAAAGGGGAATCGTTTGACTAAGGTTTCACTTTCCCTCAGCTTTTTGCAGCATTTAAGATTCTTCAGCTTGTTGTTTTGGTGTTTCAGCTTCATTGTTTTGCCTCAGCACTAATTAACCTTGATTTTGTAGCTGCAAAAAAAGCTCAACTCGTGCCAACTGTAGCATTTAACCGCTTAATATTTCCCTCAGGACTTCTAAGACAACAACAAAGTACTCACAAAAAGAAAACATGGACTGTAAGATGGCTAAAAACAGACTCAAGATAGAACTAATGTTGTGTTGCTCAGTAAAATACTGGCTAAAGAAATAAGAAACTGTTAGCTAAAATGTTCACAACAGTGATTTTCCAGTAGCGTCAATATTTGAGTGCTAGTTATTTAACTTTTACTGACTGCAAGTGTAAAAAAAAGTTTTACACTGTACATTAGTAACACATCTTTAGTAGTTTCTTTACCATATATGCAGTACAAACATTCAGCCAAACAATACAACACATTTCTATATTCTTGTGTGAATCATTAGCAACAGAAGAGGTACTGTGCTGGACCGGTGTGTTGGTGGCCTGTGATGGTCAGGTTTCTACACGCCTGCAGCCCCCTAAACGTGTGTTGCCCCGGGCGGTGTGTGGTGTCAGTCAATGGCCCATGAGGAGTGCTATCTCTTTCAGGAGCCTAACTGCCACTTTGTGGCCGCGTAACAGGATCCAGCACCATGCTGGATAGACAGGGACAATGGAGCCCCCTCTCAGGTGATGGTCAGATAGACTTTCCTGTTCCGCTAACATCAAAATTTGATGTTTATGGCAGTTTTTCATTTGGGATTTGTTGGAGTTACCTTACACCTGACTGTTTATCTATGTTGACATATTTGCTTAAAAACCCTAAACATCCTTTCAACTATCAGATCTACAAAGGCAAACAAGACCATCAGGACAAGATCAATTATTTTTCTGTGGTTATTTATAATTGCTGAAACTGCTACAGAGGGGTGGGTGTCAGTCGAAACAATTTCCAGCAACCTGAAGAAACAGACCTTTTTTTTTTTCGCATTTTTCACTGCAAACATTTACAATGACAGCAAAATTCGATTATTTTTGGTCAGAAGACACGACCACATAAAAAGTTCAGCAAAGATATTAGACAAACTGTTTTGTCCAGAGGGGGCAGCAAAATCAACACAAACTAAAATTTTCTTTAAAGGACACTCTGTCCTGCATCATGCAATGCAAGGCCTCCAGTCTTCTCAAACAGTTACTAACACCTGTTTTTTTAGTTTAGTGTGTTTTGTTTTTGATGAAGACATGAAAAGCTTTTTCCACAAAGGCCATTGATCAAGTAACAAATGCCACACTTTATAAAAATGACCATACAGACATTGTGAAAGTTTGGAACCACTTCTGTCATGAAATTACAAAAAACAGCTGTTTTTACTGCTATATTATTGAGGTTGCTGTCTTCGGCCAGCCCCTAAGGTAAATCTTAAGCATCTAAATACATGTTTAAAAAGGCTCAGTATTGTTTTAATATATTTATGCTATCAATAAAAGTCTGAAGGAAAAGCTTTTGCGTGTGTAATACTGATGGAAACACAATATTAAAGAGGCGGTAAAAACAGCTGTGCTTTAAATAATATTCAAGCATTAAAAATGTATATTGTACAGAGTAATGATGATGAGCAACATTGCAGTATTGTTCTTTAGACGTTCGCATTAAGTTGGTTTTAGATAAAATTCGTTGGTGAGAAATATATTGCATAGCATCTGGTCGTGAACCTTATATATTTTTTTAAAACAGGGATTGTTGTGTAAATTTGAATTAATGTTAAAAAAGAGTAAGAGAAAACACAGTCAGGCAAGCAGCTGGGTGTGGTCAGTGAACAACACTAACTTATCCCTCTCACCCTCTTCACAATTACATATTTAGACAAAGATTTGCTTCCTTTGCTGCAAACTCGCTACATTATTGATGGTTTCCTATTGAAGGAAGTACAGAATGTAATCTATCAGTGTTTCCTGTCGTACTGCTGTCATTTCCCCTTCAATAAAACCAGATGTTCAGTCCAGAAAAGTTACAGAGACACACACACATCAGGCACCTTCAGGGTAAGTAACTTTCAGCACTTTTTTCCTGCAAAACTCCATTGAACATTTTGATGATTTTGGGAGATGAGTTTTTTACATTTTGTTGTAAATGCCAGCTGGGTCAGTAGAACAGCAGCTCGTTTTCCTGGAGCGTGATCCGTGAGTGTCGGTTACCCCGATGTGGTGACTGACGGGTCAACTTGGCAGTGATGAGAGCCAAACTGATGAAGCATAGTAGTGCCTGGCTCTTTCATGGCACCGTAATTAAAGTGCATTGTGTTTGCGGATTATTTCATCTGGCGCTTCCTCAGTCGTAGCAGCAGACCATATCCTGCGTTTATACATAATATAAGGCTTGTAATTGATTCTCCTTTCCATCCCTTAATTAAAACCTAGGCTCAGTTATTGATTAATCTTGTATTAAATAAGAATGCATGAAGCGTCAAGTGTAGGTGGAGTCTTTTGTGTTCGTTCTGCCCTCGCGATGAACAAGACTGATGGCTCTTTACAGAACACAGAAGCGGATTAGATATCAGCAGCTCAATTTAGATTTATCATGAGCATTGAGGATGCAGCCAAGGCCACTTATGGCTCAGACTGGAGGTCACAGATTTAGAGACAAAACAGGCAGGATGTGAGGGAAATAAATATCCCAAGTTGTACATGACTGTCAATAGTGGGTGTATGTGTTCTTGAATGGTGGCATACAGATAACTTTTGAGGAAAACAGGACACATTGGAAAAAGGCAGGAAATACACACAACGAAAGAAGGAATAGGAACTTGGGAAATAATGTGATATCTGTAGATAAATTCAAGTTCAAAACATCAGTGTTTATATATAGTCTCTCATGTTAACTAGTTCTGCTGTGATTTGCTTCTGTTACAGAGCCTTGACGAGCGCTGCAGCAAGATCCTGAGGAACATGGAGGCCTCCCTGACAGCTCGGGATCGCGTGGGTATCCAGGATTTTGTTCTCCTCGACGCCTACACAAGTGAGAGTGCCTTCCTGGACAACCTGAGGAAACGCTTCCACGAGAATCTCATTTACGTGAGTCTTCCTGCGTGACATAATATCTGACAACCTAGCTCTTTCTCTTACTCTGATTAAACGGCATGCCCTAGAACGTTTGACCCCAAAAGGTCCCAATGCAGCGTTGACTCCTGCTGAATCTGACTTCGTGTGTTGCTGAAACAGCATCTCTTGTTCTTTCCATTTGCAGACTGAGCAATCTAAAGGTCGTCAATGTCTGTGAGGTCGCGAAAAGCGATTATCCAAACTTATTGTGTTTGATAAGAGGAACAAAATAGCAAATCAGCACAGTGATACATGGACAACTCTTTTTGTGATATAATGTCTTAGAAAATCTCCTGTATCATCAAATGTGAAGGGGTTGCAGATCATTATTTCCTTTCTTGTTTCTCTGCAGACCTACATCGGGACTCTGTTGGTGTCGGTCAACCCGTATAAAGAATTAGATATCTACAGCAAGAAGCAGATGGACACCTACATGGGTGTAAACTTCTTTGAGCTACCACCTCATATGTAAGATGTTTTATTTATTTTGTACTGATTATACTTTTGCATGGCACACAGTTAGCATTAAGAGTTGGGTCCTTCTTTTCTAGATAAATCATCTCTTTTAGACCGTCATCACTTCAGACTGAAATAACTACAACAATTAGAGGGATTGTTATTAGATTTCTGCAGATATTCATGGTTTCCAATGAATGAATCCTACTAACCCGTCTATCTCCTGACTCTTGCTGTATCCCCAACATGAGGTTTATTAATTTCAGTTTATTCTATGTGAAATATTTTCACCAGAACTGGATAGACTTCCATCAAATCTGCAATGCACATTTATGCAACCCTTTAGGTTGAATTGCAACAAATTTCACCCTTCCTCTTGTGCTATAATATCTCCAAAACTTTAGTTGTAAAGCAAAACCTGGCAAACAAAGGGCATTCATACTTCATAGAGTGCTAGTTTTGTGACTTAGAAGTGACACTGTACCCATTTTTCTTGCTTAAAATTCGGATTGCCATTGTGAGTGTGTAAGCAGTTTGGCATAAGCATTCTGGTAGAGACTTAATGCTTTTAATTTTATCATTGAATCATAACACCAGAGGCCAAAAAGACAGGATTACAATATGACATGTGAGTTTATAGATTATAGATGCAGGGTATCATGGTATCATGTATATGTTAAGGAGCCAACCATGACCTGTAACATTTGTATTCGACCGTGGGACCATTTTTTCAGGTCATGTATCCTCCCTCTTTCTTTCTTCATTTTACTTAGAGGTAGCGCTTGAAAAAGAGGTAGAAAAGTTTACTTTAGTGTTCTGATGGCAAAAAGAAGTCAGGATTTTCTAAAAGGGCTGACTGAACATATTACTGTCCTTTTAGATATGCTCTGGCAGACAACGTCTTCCGCACGATGCTGTCTGAGTTCAACAACCACTTCATCCTGATCTCAGGGGAGAGCGGGGCCGGCAAGACCGAGGCCTCCAAGAAAATCCTCCAATTCTACGCCGTCAGCTGTCCAAGTACCAAACTTCTAAACAACGTCCGGGACAGACTTCTTCTGTCCAACCCAGTGCTCGAGGTCAGTGACATGGATGCTTCTGACGTGAAATACTTTTTTTCAGTGGAAAATATCATAACTATACACATATTTATATCTTGCAGGCTTTTGGAAATGCCAAAACCCTGAAGAATGACAACTCAAGTCGCTTTGGGAAATACATGGACATCCAGTTTGACCATCAGGTGGAGTAAATAAACTTAATTAAATGAAATTACAATTTCAAGATAATAGAGCCAGGGTTTAAAGTTTACCTTTCCCCCTGCAGGGTGGTGCAGTTGGGGGGCACATCCTGAGCTATCTCCTGGAGAAGTCCCGTGTGGTGCATCAGAATCACGGAGAGAGAAACTTCCACATCTTCTATCAGATGGTGGAGGGGGGAGAGGAAGATCTGCTTCGCTGGCTTGGTCTGGAGAGGAACTGCAAGAACTACAGTTATCTAGTGCAGGTCTGCGGACCCCCCCCCCACACACACACACACACAAAAAACAAAACGTCATTTATCTGGTTTAACAACAATCTCAGACATTGTTTTGTTTCCTGCAGGGTGGTTGCCCCAAAGTGAGCTCTATCAATGATAAAAGTGACTGGAAGACGGTGCGGAAAGCCCTCTCCGTCATAGAGTTCAGTGAGACTGATATTGAGGTGAGGCTGTACAGTGAAACTTGACACATTAAAACTATCTGAAGCTATGTATGAACAGTTAGGCCTGTCTTACATGAAGTCTTTATTTCTGTGTATACAGAACCTCTTTGGAATAATTGCTAGTGTGCTCCACCTGGGTAATATCAAGTTTGCGGCAGATGATCGAGGATATGCTTCTCTCAACAACAACCAGGAGATGCACTGGGTGTCAAAAGTGAGACTGAAACAAACTGTTGATAATTTAAACATTTTATTCATCGCTGTGTGACTCTCTGATTGGGCAAGGAAAACATTTTGGTGTTACACTTTCTTTTTTTTCCCCGCTTTTGTTGTGCAGTTATTAGGGATTCCTGCTCAGGTGCTACAACATGGTTTAACCCACAGGAAGATTGAAGCCAAATCAGAGGAGGTGACTTTTTTTTGTTTGATTTAAAGTAGAAAGTATTGTCAAATGGTTTGTGTTTAATAGTTACTATTCTTATGTTAAAGGTGTTTAGTCCCTTCTCTGTGGACCATGCAGTATATGCCAGGGATGCACTTGCCAAAGCCATCTATGGTCGCACTTTCAACTGGCTGGTCAACAAGATCAATGAATCTTTAGCTAACATGGTGAGATGAAAGCTACTCTGTCTCATTACAGTCAAAGAAAATAGGAATACAATTGGGAAAACAAGATTTTAGTACGCCTGAGGCTGCTGTAGGACTATTTGTGAGACTGGAAACATCAAATTATAATACCAGATTTGTTTTTGGCTGAGTTTCTCCTCATTGTTTTTTTTATAAACACCAACTCATGAGCTGAAGTTTAATCAAAGAGTTCTGATAAAGGTAAAGGGTAAAGACAAGAAAATAATTTCAATGTATCTTATCCGTAGGATTCCTCTCGGAAAACAGTGATTGGTCTGCTGGACATCTATGGGTTTGAAGTCTTCAGTGTGAACAGGTGAGATCATTCACACAAGAGCTTATTCTCCAACAGCAAAACTATTAAATCAAGATTGTGAAGCTAACAGCGCCAATTATTTATTTTAGCTTTGAGCAGTTTTGTATCAACTACTGCAACGAAAAGCTGCAGCAGCTTTTCATCCAGCTGACCCTGAAGTCAGAACAGGAGGAGTACGAAATGGAAGGAATTGAGGTAAAGAAGCTTTTATCAGATTCTTTTTTGCTTAATTCTTTGTGTTTCACAGTGTTACTAATGTGTTACACTCCTCACAGTGGGAACCAGTGCCATACTTCAACAACAAGATAATCTGTGATCTTGTGGAGGAGAAACACAGAGGAATCATCTCTTTGTTGGTAAAGAGAATCTATAAAAGACAATAAACTCTCGTACAAAACCAAAGAGGGGTTCAGTTATTGATGCTTTTCCTCTGGCACAGGATGAGGAATGTTTACGTCCTGGTGAAGCCACAGACCTCACCCTTCTGGAGAAGATGGAGGATAAGATTGGCGGTCACCCTCATTTTGTAACGTGAGCATTACAGTTTTGCTCGACAGAAAATGCATTTTATTTACACAAGCTAATGAACACTGGCAAACAACTTAAGCGGCATAACACATAATACCAGTAATCCTAAAACGCTCCCTCCTGCAGACATAAGCTTGCAGACCAAAAGACGAGGAAAACGCTGGAGAGAGGAGACTTCCGTCTCTTGCACTACGCTGGAGAAGTTACATACTGTGTTGTTGGTAAGAGATCAAATTGATATATGATGAAAAATTTATTTTTCTTTTATGATTCCCTTAACTAACCATATAGAGTGGCTGCAGTACTGCGATTAAGTATAACAGTAGAGGAAGTAGCGGAAAGCAAATAAAGTCAAATAAATAAATAAGAGATTACATAGGGATCATTTTATGGTTTGCTAGCATTACCAAATGGAGCCTGTATCACTAAAAAAATCCCACACATTTTGACTCACCTCCATTCTCAGCTCATAATAAATGCTCAAAGGAAAATCCAGAACTTTGGAAAAGTATTATACTGTTAATTTTTTAAAAGTCATACAAGAAAACTAAACTGTAGCCTATCAATATTTCTACTAATAGCATCTTTGCTAAGCTCTTTCATAAGCACTGCATGCTCCTGTCACAGGCTACCTGACTAATATACTGAACTAAGCGACTGTATTACTTTTAAGAAGAATAGAAAGTTGTATTATATAAAGACAGCATATCTTCCCATTTTTTAAAAGTTTCTCCTCTTTTAACTTTTAGGGTTCTTGGACAAAAACAATGATCTCTTGTATCGGAATGGGAAAGAGGTAACTTTGTTTCTCGGTGACTCCTTGAGAATGAATGCATATGAATTTGATTCATTCATTGTATAAACAAAATACTTAAACACATATACTTCACTGCTACAAACACAAAAAAATAAAAATAAAAGCATGGTAAAAAGAGCCAAAATAGAGCAAAAACTCTTGCATTACATAATTATACCTTAATCTGAATAGTTCTTCTGTTCTCCTTCAGGTCATGCGTCAGTCCAAGAACACTGTTATCAAACACTGTTTTCCTTCTACTGAACCTGACAGCAAGAGGAGGCCTGAAACTGTAAGAAATTATTCAGAAGACAACATCCAGTGACCCACTGATTACATGTCTTCTTTTAACTGCCCTTCTCCGTGACTCCTCAGGTGGTGACTCAGTTTAAAAGCAGCCTGGTGGGCTTGACTGAGATCTTACTATCCAAAGAGCCCTGGTACGTCCGCTGCATCAAACCCAATGAAGCTAAACAACCAGGTGAGGCCTTGTGAACTAGAGATCCCCCACTTCTTAAATTACTTTTGAGGCCTACACAAGCTATCACTGTTTACTGTATGTTGTGCTTTCTTTTATCCAGCACATACAGTATAAGTGAGACCAGCCAGTTTTGACCTCTAAACTATCTAGATGAATCTTTTGTGTCACTTGCAGGGCGCTTTGATGACGTATTGATAAGACATCAGGTGAAGTACCTGGGGCTGATGGAGCACCTGAGGGTCAGGCGTGCGGGGTTTGCATACCGACGCAAATATGAAATCTTTCTGCAGAGGTCCCTAAGCACTCTACCATTGCTTTATTTTCATCCAAAGTCCACATACTCTTTATCTTGCACGTTGTAACTTTTTTCAACACACATTCCTGCTATTTTTTCATCTTTAAATCGGTTCGTTTTCTCTTTGCTCAGGTACAAGCCCTTGTGTCCAGACACCTGGCCCAACTGGAAAGGCACAGCAGCAGAGGGTGTGCATTGTCTTATCAAACACCTGGGCTACAAATCTGATGAGTACAAGATGGGCAGGTAGGCAGATTATCATACCATGTCTTTCATAGGTGCTGGCTAATATTGAATGCATAACAAACTTCTCACTGTTTGTCTCTTTCTGGCAAGGACGAAAATCTTTATTCGGCACCCAAGAACTCTGTTTGCAACTGAAGATGCATTTCAGGTTTGCAAACACAAGCTAGGTGAGATGTTGAACTGCATATTAATCTTAACTGCTACATTAAGCATCATAACACTTATAAGAGTGAACTTTAACTGTGGTTGATGCAGCAACAAGGATTCAGGCCAAGTACAAAGGTTACAGGGTGAAAGGAGACTTTGTGAAACAGAAAGAGGCTGGTGAGTGTTTTTTCACCAATTTTGACTAAACAATGGTACAATTTTAGTAATTTTTTAGATCTTACTTTAGGTTAATGTGTACTATCCAAACAGCCACAAAGATTGAGACCTGCTGGAGAGGGCTGATGGCTAGAAAGGAGCGGGAAAAGAGGGCTTGGGCTGTCAAAGTCATTCAGAAGTAAGTAAACACTATGAAATCTATTGACTGATGGCGACACAGTCAAATGAAGTCTTTGTTGTGAGTTTCCTGTCTATTGATTTGTTGCAGGTTCATTAAAGGTTTCATGACCAGAAATGAGCCCTCCTGTAATGACAACAGTGAGTACCTGGCGTATGTGAGACAGAACTACCTCATACGGCTGAGGGAAAACCTTCCCAAAACAGTCCTGGAGAAAGATTGTTGGCTCACCCCTCCGCCTATAATGAAGGAGGTAGGTGATACATTTTTTAACACCAACTATTTCAGATGTAGTTATAATATCCAGCATCAAACATCTGGTGTTGTTGGGGTGCCAATGGCCTGGGTGGCCTGGGCTGGGTCCCACCTGTAGCTACTTTCCCACACGTCATTCCCCACTCTCTCTCTCTCTCTGGTTGCTGACTCTATCTACTGTCCTATCTCATAAATGCATAAAAAGCCCAAAAATAAATCCAAAAAACAGCAACAAAAAACAAACATTTGTTGTGTTTTTTTTAGGCCTCCCAGCTTTTGAAGAAGCTCTATGTTCGCCAAATGGTGAAGAAGTACATACGAGGAATCACTGCACAGAGGAAACAACAGGTACAGTCAACCCTCTTTAACACAGAATGAAGGAGCCTTAAAACATGCACTTACAACATATCCATTATCCAGTTTAAATAACTAGACTTTGTAAAGAAAGTCTCTGGGCAATGCTTCAGTCCCAGAAAAAGAACAACTTTATTATTATGTACTCTTTTTTCCCAGTTACTGCTGAAAGAACAGACAAGCTCCATGTTCAAAGGAAGGAAAGAAAACTACCCTCTCAGTGTATGCAGACCATTTCTGGACACCAGGATAGGTAAGAGAATACAGAGTTTTACTATTTTCTTAGAAGATACTTACAGGAACTACAGTTTAAACTCTTAATAACCAAGGGAATCATATTTGATGCACAATTTGTTGAGACTGCAACATCTTTAGTAAGATTTTTTTTTCCTGAAAAGTCCTGATGATTACTACCAGATATACTTTTAATGTGCAGATAATCTTCCAGGGGGAGGGGGAAGGCATGCCTGTTGGACCTTTGTATGGCACATACATACTGCCAACCAATGGCATATATGGGGGTTTTTAAGGAGTTTTTTTTTTGGTTTCAAATTTTGATTAAAAAAAAATAAAGCAAGAAAAACATCAAATAAGTACAGTGTTGAAGATGTCATAAATAAAAAAGAAGCATTCGGCAAGGGTCAAATAGAAAAGGAAGGAGTATCAAGTTTGGTTGAACCTGCAGGGGTAAAAGTATTATTTCTTTTTTTACAACCATTATTTTTGGAAGGTTCTCTAATGATGCCAGATTAATATAATTAAAATGTTAAGACAATTATGTAAGAGTATCTGCCTTACAGAGTTAAAACACAATAAAACAGAACAGTACAATTTTTGCTTGCACTAGTGTTCCTTGCAGTATTTTTGTACCTGTGTGTTATTAAGCGCTGTCATGGATTCTGAATGCTGTCCTGTTTCCTTAAGGTCCAGAGGACATAAGCATTAAAGTACTTCAGATGATTCGGCATGAGCACATCAGGGTAAACTAGATTCCTTTTTGCATTTTTGCTTTTTTTTTTTTTAATCCACTCTGACCATGTGCGTGCGTTCCTCACACAGTACAGCGTGCCAGTGGTGAAGTATGACAGAAATGGGTTCAGGCCTCGTGTGCGGCAGCTCATCTTCACTCAGGAAGCGGCTTACCTAGTCGAGGAGGCCAAGATCAAGCAGCGGATTGATTACAGCTCTCTGAAAGGTAACAAATTAGACAAGATACACGTAAGGAGAGTTTCAAGCTTGCCTCTAAGTACATGTTTAATTTCAATTCTGAAGATCTGTCTATGTCTTATAGGTGTGTCTGTCAGCAACCTAAGTGACAACTTCCTGATCCTTCATGTCACATTTGACGACATCAAGCAGAAGGTATCAACAGACTATTGGATATCTGACACTTAAACACTCTTTTCAAAAATTACAAAAATACTAATAGCTTGATAACATGTTACCACATTAAATCACAAACTGGACTAAAAAAGTAAAAAAAAAGTTGTTCTCAAAGTTTCAGCGATAGTATACTCAAAGAATTAGTTCAGTTTTTCAAAGCTTGACCCAAAGGCAACTGGACTTCCTCCGAAAGTCTCCCTCAGAACTGAACTGAACAAACCAGAATTTCAGCTGCCTTTGGATCAAGCTCGATTTTACCATGACCTGGATCACTGAGAACCTTCGTAGTTCAGCTTTAGCAGCACAAGTAATGCCTCTGTATGACCTTAGAACAGCAAACAAGTTAATCAGGAAGAAGATTGAATATTTCTAGTTATTAAAGATGTTTTTTAGTGCCTGAAAAACTGATGCTGCGGGGTAGGTGTCAGACAAATTACATTACTGCGTATTTTCACAATGAGTGATTGTAAAAAGAAAGTGGGAGGACATTTTTTTGTCAGAAAATGCTACCTACACATGTACACAACAAGATCAGCAAAGAGATAGGACATACTACTTTGTCCACAGGGGGCACCAAAATCATCACAAACCAAAAGTTCCTCGCTGGAGCTTTCAAAAAATACATTTGGACATTGTAGAGCACAAACCTTAAAGAGTTAACAGGAAAGAAGAGATGAGATCTTTAGCAAAATGTGAGACATTCATTTTTGGTTCATGGTTTGTAAAAATTTGCTGTGGTACTGTCCTGCAGCAATACTGAATATGCATTTGGACTATTGTGCCTCTTGTGACATTTTGTTTTGGAGCCACAAATCACAAAACAGACAAACCTCCATCTACCACTAAGATCTAGTGGATAAGGACTTTGTTCATAAATAATATAGTATGTGACTTTTAAGCTGGACCCAGATTAGAACTAAAACATTAATTTAATGAATCAATACATTTCTGAGTTGGTTCAGTTGGTAGAATCACCATGCCATTACTTTCCACATAATAACTTATTGAACAACTAAAGGACTGACGCAATGTTATCGTGCAGGGGGATCTGGTGCTGCAGTGTGAGTACCTGTTTGAGGCCCTGACCAAGATGAGTGTTATTGCCAACAAGCAGAACTGCATTAAAGTGGTCCAGGGCAGGTACAAAATCTCAAATTTACAGATTAATGTAAATTAATGTAAGTAAAAGATAATAACGGTTGTGTTGTAACTTAGTGTTTTGTGTGTTAAATTGCAGCGTGCGTTTTGACATCCAGCCCGGCAGAGAGGGGTTTGTGGATTTCAAGAGTGGTCAGGAGTCCATGGTCTATAGAGCAAAAAACGGCCATTTGATGGTGGTAAGATTGATGTAAACTAACTCATTACAGTTGGAAAATAGCTGAAGAAAAAGGATCCAACTTTACTTTCCCTTTTAGGAATCTACAAGAACCAAGTCCAGGTGATGCTGCCGCTGACTTGTGTTGTTGCTGCAGATTGTAGTGACCGCCGTGTTCGTTCTGCTATACTGCTTCATCGTTGCTGCCAACTTGTTTTACATTACTCACATTTTTTTATGCAACTTGATGAAAATAATATCCAACCATGAAAATACAATAAAACATACGCACTGCCAATTACTTAGCTGTAGATAGTGGACAACAAGCTCACTTGCCTTGCCAAGTGAGCCTTGCCAGAATATGTGTGTCTACTAGTTCCTTATATGTGGAAATTGATCTCAGTTCACATTCAAGTCATTGTCATGTCATTTATATCAATAGAAGCACTTGTTATCCTCTTTTTGTATTAAACCTATCTGAGATCTTAAAATAAGATGAAAGAATTAGATTTGTGTGCATCAATGTATGTTCATGTTACGTCACCCTGTTACATTAAATCATGTTAACCAGACTGCATAAAGCATCTGCGTTTTTGTTTTGAAATCATTTCAGTTCAGAGTGAACTCAGACACCAGCACATTTTAAATGGATCTTTAATAATCTACAAACAAGACCATTTTGTAATGAGATGATTGAAAGGAAGAGCTCCCTCTAATGTTCTGAACTGGCATTACAGTACCTTTCATATGGATAATTTAGGTAACTTTATGAAACTTCTGCAGAAAATATTAGCTTTTCTGTTCTGACTAACAGAACACTCAAATACTGAATTAATTTCCCATCTACACTGTAAAAACAAGAAGTCATGATAACATAAAATTCTAAGTGAGTTTTACTTCAAGTCTATGAAAATGTTGTGTTAACTCAATATTATATGCTTATCTCACCTGAACTAATTGAAAGTTTTCCAAAAGTGATTCTCGGGCTTCGACCGGGGGGGAGGGAGACCTCTCGCGCAAGCTCTTTCCCTCTTCTTTACCGTCAAAAGCCAAAAAAGAGCAGAAAACAAAAGCAGAAATAACAGCTTATTCTTCTTCTTCTTATACAGAAGAAAAGATTCATGATTTTATTGCAGATTTTGTGTGTACATTAAGCCATGAAGGTGTCCAGAGGTGTTACGAGCTAACACAACCCCACAGCTAAATGCTATACAAGCGCCTATGCTAAGGCCAGTGAGCCCGTAACCTAAATGCCTCTCCTTACGTGTTGCATAAACGTGAATGTGTTTCCTGCCTTATCTGAATGTGTGTGCAACTGTCCTGTCTGTTTGAGGGGTGCGTGTAGGTGACTCACCCCAGAGATCCGCGTACGTGCCGCGACCAGCTCACTCGAACAGCCCGATCCACGAAGCCACTTGGGGTCCAATCCCCTCCGCCAGCCCTCTCCTTCATATCAGTTTAGTTCATGTGTAAAAAGCACCCGTGAAGTGTTGAAACAAAAACAAACATTACTTCAGATTCAGTCTCTCAGGTGTCTGCGTCCTCGTGGCGTCTCTTCGACTCTTCGACCCCCCCCCCCGGCTCCTCCGCAGGTGCTGCTAATTAAAATTACAGAGACAGAGCCACCACACCCCCCTCAGGTGTGTCATCAGTACTGACCCTGCGTCTCCTACTACTAACCACGCCTACCGCTAAAGACACTGAAGTGGATCCTCATAACGCATTACCATAACAAGAGGGTACATGAAAAAGACTCATGCAATCAAATGAAAGTTGTTGCTAGTCTATCACATATCCAAGACTCTAATCACTATTCAACTAATAACCTTGCATTTAAAGGGTTACAATCCAGAAAATAATTGAATGTTTGGTAATTCTGAGCAAGTCGGAAGTTGTTTAAATTCACAGCAGAAAAATATAAATTCATGTTTGGAGGGCACAAGTGTTTATGTTCCAGCAGTGTTGTTGTTTTACCTTGATATACTGAAGAAGCTCGTCACGAGGCAGGATACTACTCTCCACTGTAGCTGCGAACAGCTCTGGAGCCGGCTCTTTGTCCAGCATGAAGAACTCCACACTCCGTACACTTCCCTGTCGAAGTCAGTTCAATTAAAATGCTGTCGAAAAAACATGAGTAATAAACTTATAAGATGGACGTGCAAGTAACTGCAGTTACATCGTTATCCCAATGAAAGGATTTGCAACAATCATCGCTATAGTCAGAATTTATCGTAAGAAAAAAGTATTTATGCAGACAAGCAATGCTTTCTCACTCAGCATGTAGCATGTGGTTATATGTCAGTTACATACAAAGGCTGCACATTTAATTGCACTATCATTCAGAGCCAGCCGACAATATCTGCAGATATGAGCGTATCCAGTGACTATCGGTATTGGCTAATTTTATCGCAGATATGCAATAGACACCTGTATCCCATTTTGCATACTTTTTGAATCTATTCTGTTCTATTTAATATAATACTGTAAAGAATGAAAAAAGATCATTCTGGAAGCTGTCACTAATGATGATAATAAAACCATTTTTAATACAGTGCAATACAAAATAATGTTGAAATAAATGTGATTCAGAAAATCTTTTTTTTTTCCAGAATCACACATCAAAACGTTTTTCATTACAGTGTACAATAAGGCCGAGATAGACAGGCAGACAGTCAGTCAGACACTTACCTCTAAATCCAGCTCAAATGTGATGACAAACTTTTCAGCCTCTTCAAACATGTGTTTGTGAAGAATCTCTTCTAAGTCTGGGACTCAAAGAGAAGTCAACTAAGTCAAAATAATAATACAATTATTTTACAAAATGGAAGTAAATGCATCCAAATAAAGTTCTCGGGCAAAGCCTCTGTGAAGCATCTGATGACGATGAAGAAATCGGCTCTCTTTGAATATTGTTGAGAAACAAAAAAACAAAAACCGCTTAGTATGTTAAAACTTCATCATATTCTTGAGTAGTTATTGAGCAGGCAAGGAAAGTAAATACAAGATCTGCACAACAAGAAGCTCCCGTTTGAAGGATTTATGAAGTGACATTTTAGCCAACTGAGGAAGAGCATGTTGGCACTATGGCGTCTTGGTGTGTGAAATCCGAAAGATAATATGCAATAAGTGTCGATTGTTTACCATGTTTATTTTTGTCTGGACGATACAGGAGACTGAAGAAACATCCAGAGAGTAAAAAAAACAGTCATCGAGGGCAGAAATCGTATTTGCAGTGAGTTGATCTGAAAAATCATAAAGCTTTATGTTGAGTTCAGAACAGCCTCGTGAAAATCACATATCACATACTCCCATTTCTCTGTATAAATCACAGATGAAGTATGTTTTAAAACACTCATACATACGCCACCATGGGAGGCAGATCGAGCCGCACTCTGTGGTGAGTTCAAAGTCATGAACAACCAGATCGGCCAACAGTGAATCATGACCAGGAAGTGAAGGTCCCAAAGACTCAGGGTATCTTACACGGACGAAAAGGAAACAAAAATAGGCTCAAATACTTGTCCAGATGTGTATCACAGCTTTAAGCAAGAGCACAGAACTCACTCACTGTTAAGAACATACAGGAGCTAAATGTTTGAACGCAAAGAGCCACATTTTTCAGTCGGACTTCACCCAGAGTTTCTCCTGCCAGACCCCTAGTATGTTTTCCGCAGTGAGCTGATGTGAGAACACAGCAGGATATTATCCGGAGAATTCAGCTCGAGCCAATAGGAGAGGGGCAAATATTCTTATTATAGCATTGTACAGCAGACTCTGTTGCTCCGTCCGCTACTTCCGCATTGTTTTTATCCTGTCATATCTTACCTCAGGAGACCCCAGCCACCGGGGCTAAGGGGCGCTATAGTCCCATCACAAATCTATTTCATTTCATAAGTGTGTCGATCACCCCCACTATTCTGAACCCTCTGCTCTCCTACAGCGGCACACCTCCAACCCCTCTCCACTTGCGTTCACAGGAAGGAATTATCAGTTAGAACACACCATAATTAAGCACCATTTAGAGCAAGTGGTGGACAAAATTGTCCTTTTTTGGAGCTGCAATAACCTGTGGCCTGCACTGTTGTTAGCGGGTTGTTGTTAGCGGGTTAATGTTAGCACACTCGGTTAACTCGCTTCACATTGGACATAAATTGACAGAATGATCTAAACACACTTACGTGACATCCAAATAAGCAATGAGTATTTTATTCTTTTCTCTAGTCCATGTAAACACGGCTCCAACAACAGTACTGCTGGGGCTCTCACTCATTGTAGACAGTCATGACTCAGAGAGACATTTACAGAGGATATACTTGATTTCTGTTGTATTTATGTGTAAAATGTTGCACATTCTTTCTTTATCAAAACTTGTTTTCTTTTCAGTTGGCATACACATTAATTTGGCTTACATGTGTTGATTTGAGGAAAATGTATACAGTATATAATATGTTTATGAGAGACAAACCTTGTCGGAAGAAGAAGATATCTTTATTAATCCGTGGGGAAACTTACTTTTCACTCTATTATTGAGACATGCTACTCACACATGAAATACACACACACAACATGCACTAATGAAGAGATGTTAGAGTGAGGGCCTGCACATGAAAGAGTGCCTGAGCAGTTGGGGTTTCGGTACCTTGCTCAAGCACATCTCAGCAAGATTTAGGAAGTGAAATGGCACCTCTCCAGCTACCAGACCAATTTCCAGACTAGGTCCACACTGGTTTTGGAACAGGCGACCCTCCGGTTCCCAACCAAAGTCCCTACAGACTGAGCTACAGTCGCTCAAACATTAGCATATTCAACTTTCTAAACATGACTAGTTAATGAATAAGCAAATAGAATGTGGAAAAATCCTACCTTTATGAGTAGAAACAAATTGTATATCCCTGTTGACAAAAACACAACACATGTTACCATTACATCACACCGAGAAAACCATCAAACGTTTCAGAGAATAATCCTGAAAAACAGATGGCTCAGATTCTTAATTCCATGTGTTACATTGCACGGCTTTTTCCTTTTTTTAATGAGGTGGTCATAGTAAGACCACCTCATTAAATGTGTAAATTATTGATTTTACATGTTTATTGCATCTGAAAATGCTGAGAAAAGTAACCAATAAATGGTAAATGCAGCAAAAGAAAGACAACTGTTTTTTTGCACATTCTTTTGGGTGGAAATGTGTTTACCAACAAGACAGCACAGTATTTTAGGTAAAAACATTTGTAAATGTTTAGATGTGCTATTTGATCTGATCTCCTATTAAAGGTTTAAGAACTAAAATTGGTTTGTTTCTATGATAAAACAAATAACCTGTGATACCTTTTATTTAAAAGGAAGTTGAAAGTTTCCACTCAAGCAAAGAGAATCAATCAAAATGTATAAACTACACTGATTTAAGTTGACTAAAATAGAAATATATATTCAATTTAAATTGATGAATTCATTTAACTCAATATTTTAAGTGGATTCTACGACGAAGGATTAGGGCCACGTAATTTATTTATTTATTTTTTTAATTTTGAGATTAAAGTCGTAAATTTACGA